ATAAGGCGAGCGGACCGGTGAGGGTCAGACGATAAACTAACTGCAAAGTAATAAATTTTACAACACACAGCCTCTAAGCACCCGCTGCCGTACCTTAGCAAGCTGGGCACGCAAATCGGCCACCTCCGCTTCCAGACTGCGCTTCTCATTCAGGACAGTGTTGAGTTCTGCTTCACTTCTATGAAACAGCACTTCAAGATCCTTAATGCGACCCTGAGCCACAGACAAATCCGCATCTTTCTTCTTGTAGCTGAAAAAACCCAAAAGTTAATTAGATCTACATGTGAGCGCACGCAGATCTTGAGCTTGTCTTGGTTACAACTACAGGTATTTTGTCACGTTTCTTGAGGATCAGTGTGCCACCAGGGGGCTCTTACAGCAGCCTGCAAAGGCAGCCGAAAAGGCAGTCACCAACACCTCTTCAAACTCACTGCTTGTACTCATGTCTTGTAAATGCATCGGCTAATAAAGAAGGAAAAAACAAGAAGATGACTCTGACAGCCAAGAGAAGACAACAGAGCTGCTTCACAACAAGGTGTAAAGAGTATTTTATTTCTTCTCCCCGCTGCACAGCACATTTAACTGCTGACATCCCTCCCTTTGCACCATGGACCCCCCCAAAGCGGAGCACCCGCAGCTCCCGGAGAGGCTCCTCCGGGCTCCAGACCTGGCACGGCCAAGCCCGTTCCCTCGGATGTGTTCCCGCACACGGCAGTGAAGTAACGCACCATGTGGTCACCTTTCAGGAATAACCCAGTATTTCTTCAGCAGTACTCACTATGAGTAAAGTGCACTTTGAAGATGACTATTTGAGCTGTTAAATCCAACTCAGAGAAATGAAGGTCGTCCTCCTCCTGCCCACCAAGCACTTGTCTACCTTTCTTCTAACACACTGACTTTCTGCAGCTTCTCTACATGTGTCGTTTCATTATTAAAAAGATGTTTTGTTACACGAAGCAATCCTTCCTTGCTGCAGTTTAAGCTTGCTATTCTACTCTCACACAACTAACAATGCAGGGAATAGCTTTTTTTTTTTTCCTCTCAAACCATCTCTTTAAAAACTAGATTTTCTCCTTCCCTTTTCTCAAACTTCTCATCTATAGATCTGCAGTTTCCAGCCTGTGGTCACCGAGCTGCTCTTAAGAGCCCACAGAAATACCTTTGAAGAGGATTCCTACTACCTATAGACTTAAAAACCCTCTATTTGTTCTGCAACTCCAGCCATGGAAAAAACATTATGTTTGCAAAAGAAAAAAAGCTGAAAGTCACAGCTCCAGCTTACACAAACCCTGCTCCTCAGCCCGAGTTCTGAGTCTTGGTTCCCAAACTTCAGATCACTTGTACCTGTCCTCTGGAATTTCTAAGTGACACTGTCTCCCACAGCACCCTCACAGCTCAACTGAGGAAACGTGCTCTGGCTGACCGAGTAGTGAGGTGGGTCACTAACTGG